TTTTTTTCTGGAAAAAGACAGGATAAAATGTGAGTCACACAAAATAGACTTTTCTGATACTGGCAGGCACCTGGGTATTCAAGGTTTGAAGACACTGAAGAAAGCATTTCTGCAAAACAGAACTACCTGTGCTGCACAGAGGTATGCAGCTAATCAGTCTCCATTAACAGCGCATCCAGAGAAATATCAGAAACATATGCTGCTACTTTTTCATCACTATCATTTGTCTCAGCTGGTCTCTCTTGAGAATCTCTGCTGCAAATGCATACAGAAAATAGGCATTTCCTAGCACTACTTCAATGTGCACTACTTCCGTGTGTTCCCTACCATCCTGATCTTGAACCTTTACAGTCTTTCCCTGGAAATAAGATCTTACATCCAGCCCAAATAAGGTCTCTGTATGTGTAAGATGGCTTAAGCAACATTCAGTGCCAGGCTCTTTAAGAAGAGTGAAGGAAAGATCAAAATCAAATTAATCAGAACTGGATCCTGTATTGATCTTTCTTACTGTCTGTATTTTTTCCCTTACTTCACATTATGCCATTGGTAGGTTCCATCCTAGACAGACTGCATGAAATCAAAGTAAAAGCACTGCTTGAAACTAGTGAAAATACCTTTGTAACCTAATATATAAAGCATTCAGAAAGATCATTCTGCTGAAGAAGCAGAAATACACAGAAAGCACAGAAAAACTCATTACCTGTAATGAGTAACTGCTCTACATTCACATAGAAGTATTCCTAAAGTTTTCCTATTGGCAACTTGGAGAGATTAAACTTTCATCATCCACCTGTGCTCAGAATTTAAGTAAAATTTTTTATTGCCTGTTCTTCTGCTAATGGCATGAAGCCTCAGGATCTGAATAAAACAGCAAATTGTCATTAGAAGTGAAGAAAAGATCAAACGTTCCCACTTACATAAAGCATACAGTCTCTGCTGACCTCACATGAGGTCCACTGGTACTAACCATTAAAGGGCTGTCACACTTCTGAGGTAGGTTAGCCCAATTCACTACCGCACTTGACCTTGTCTGTTGAACTTTACTTGCCTTCTTCTTAAGTCTTTCCTTTCCTTTCATATTAAAAGAAAAACCTGTAACAGAAAAAACCCCATTTCTATTCATTTCTATAGCTTTTTCTCAATAGCCTGGTGCTCACAAATAAATTTTGAAATAACAATGAAAATTTCCTCATAGTAGGGTCAGAGGGTTAAACATGTGACCTAATCGGCACCTTGTGCAAAAAAGAACAAATGAAATTTGTTATAAACCCTGGCAATCTCTAAAGAATGTTGCTCTTTCAGCAAAGTCTTTGAACATTTTGCAATGTTACTTGATAACTGCAGTTGGCAGAAATTAAGCAGCTGAAGTGTGTAGCTCTACTCATAGGATAGGAAGCTCCAGTAAGCTAAAAGCATCAACACTTAATTACTGAAATACGCTGCATGATCCAGAAAAGGCCTAAAAGCTAAAGCTATTGCACTGTGTAGCTCACTCAGCAAACATACAGCTGGTCTGTAGAAAAAGAAGAATGCACATGGCTTCTGGAATAGTTTAGAAAATCAGCTATAAATCAGAACAGATTATTTAATCAGGAAAAGGAAATAATCAAGTTGAGAAGAATGAGGATAAATCAGGGGAATACGCAGATTAATCAAACAGCTGTTATAGTCTCATCATCAAGAGACTTTGTTGTGGAGGGGAAACCTGCCTCGTGATTGAATGATAAAAAGCAACTGGCAATGCTGAACTAAGAAAGTATTTGCACAGTATGGGGTTTTCCTTAAATAAAGTGCAGTGCAGGGAAGCAGGTACAGGGGACAGCAAGAAGACAATGACTTTTCCTTTTTCTTTCTCCATTCACTAAAAAGAGATATGAAGTCTGTAAGACTTTAATGCATTTATGAAAAGAGATTCCTTCAAAACTCAAGGGCATTAAAATCCATTGCATGTGATAAATATCCTTAATTTTATGACTCGGACAGTGAGTGAGGACAGAAGATTTTGTTCGCTTGTTTGTTTTACATTTATATATTTCACATTGTATAGCAATTGGCATTGAAAGATCTTGGAGCACTTACCAAATGTTAGGGATTTAAAACATCAAAACACTCTTGTAGAAGTTAACTTGTATTCCCCTACCTACATCAGAAAACCAAGAGGATCTGATAGAGTGTAACAGATTAGTGAAAATGCTCAAAATAGAACTTGGATTTAATCCTCAAAACCAGGAATTATAAATGACCATATAAGTCCTCTTAAGGCACAGGTTGTCAGGAATTGAATATGGCAGTATTAATCTTACACAGCTCTTTCAAGAACATGTCTATTTAGGCAGAATAGAATTTTAATGAGAAGAAATATTGTTTTTATAGAAAATCGCTCACCATACAAAAATGGTCAAAATCTCAGTTGGATATGAAAGGCCATTAATCCCAGAGAGGACAAAAAGTTCATTGTTCATCATAGGCTACTTACACTGAGAGAGAAGCACCCACTATATAAGTCACCAGGTTAAGCTTATATCAAAAGTGATTTAGCTTGGGTCTGTTTGTTTATGAGATATTATGGTATCACTGATGAAAACTGAAGGTCTCTACAGCTCGGAATTCAGGCCATGTCTCTGTAATACACCAGAAACTCTGATGTTTGTACAAATTTCTAGGGACTGAATGTCTCACAACCATGTTTCTTCATGTATTCTCCCCCTTGCTTCCTTTAAGAGATCAATGGCTTCCTTCTGAAATTCATTTAAAAATAGATTACATGGAAATATCAGGAAATTTTTCTACGACCTTGACTTAAGATGAGTTTTTAACTTTGACTTAAGATGAGTTTTGATCAAAAACTGCCACAAGATAGAGTGAACAAATCAGATGTCCTTAAACTATTATCAATGTTTTGTGGCAATCAAGATCTAGACTCTACCCACACCATAGCTAGCATGTATTGAGAAACAGAGCTACTGACTGTTTTGTGAATTAGTTGTAATACCATTTTCAACATGTTAAGATTGTCTTTGATTTTAATCACATAATTTGAGAACTCTAAAGAGGAAATGCCATTTCCACGTCTAAATGAACAAACTAAAGACCAATTCTTTTTATGAAGACACAGGGGGGAAGGAGGTCTTCCCACGAGAAGTCCGCAACAATGCATCTCCCTCCATTATAAGTTCAAATGAGAAAAGGAGTCGTCTAGGTATTTCACCTGCCACCTGTTTTACAAGATACAAAGAAAGTAGCTATCCAAAAAGAAGAAAATGCAGAAACTTGTTTACAGCATCAGTATTTCCCAGATAATTATTTTCTTGTTATATTTTAAACACACGCATCTTCCATATGAAATTCAACTGTTATATCAAGCTACGTGTACATACAAAGTAGAACTGAAAGAGCTGACTGACTGTTTATTTTAAGTGAATTTTTCTTTTACAGTTTAGTGTAACTGGAGGTAGATGCAATATTAAGTTATTTGCTTCCAGTGGTTTGAAATAATAGTAATCTATGAACATTAGGACAGAGTACTGGAGATTGGAATCAGTGGTTTCAAGTTAAGCCTACATAAACATGCAAATGAAACAACAAAAAATAAATCCAGCAGGTTATATGCTGATCGTCAGTACAGTATAGTACAGATCTTCTTGGAGGAAAGGCTGTTTCTGTATTGTCAGAATAGTAAAGCTAGTACTGCAAAAAAATTATATGAAAATTGAAAAGATATATAAGATTCAGAGGCACAGTATTACAACTATGCCGTTCGTATTATTTCCCATATATCTCAAACCATCAAAATCAAGTCAAAGGAAATAACATGGCAAAAGAGTCTGTAATTTGCTATGCATGAATATATTTCTTCTGATCCTGCAGGCAAGAGTTTCATTTCATATAATCATATGAAAATGGTTACTGACATTGTCAGGACTTTTGCCTTAACCAAGTCTATCAGCCTCAATTTCAGAGCTGTTAAATTTGTCCCCTTCAGTAGATGCCTTTGTGGTAGTAATGGAAGCTCCCAGTGACTTCAGTTTAAAGTATTTTTCACAATTACATTATACTATTATTTGGTCCTTTGAACAAAGAAGTGCTCGCTAACCTGTAACTGAGGACAAATACTACTAATAAGAGAGGCCTTAGCTATGGTTAATTAACAAAATTATGGAGTGGTGCCCTTTCCTTAGAATTCTAGACTTGCAAAGGAGCAAAAATGATCTGGTCTCATATAAAGGACAAAAAAAATTTTAGCAATAAAATGGAAAATGCTTTGAAAATAAAATCTGAAATGCTTTTTTTTTCCTTTTAAATTTTCTGCAGAGTTTGCTGAACAGATGGATCACCCAAAATGTGGGTGATCACCACTGCAAACTGAAATACTAATACATATCTGTATATATGACCATACACTGCAATATATCACAAAGAGATGCTCAATAACAGCTTAGAAAGAAAAATCAGATTACATTCTTTGTGTTTTCTTGGTGCAATTTCTTGCCAGGTTCACAAAATTTTGGGATCAATTAATGAACAGATTTAAGCATGTATTTAATTCAAAGACCACAAGTAATTCTACTGGAACAAGTGGGACCCTGTAGAGACTTTAAGATAAGCCTGTCCTGATGCCCTCATAACAGCAGGCCTGTAATGTTTTGCCTTTGGCAGTATGGAGTCCATTTCAGGAAATGAAAGATGACAAGTAATAACTGACTTCATTCTCGCCCTTCCCTACTAAGAACAGAAAGCTTCCCAAACAAAAGGTTACAAGAAAGCTGTAGGCAAGCCTCACTCATCATGCAGATGTGATGGTCCTTTTAAAGTCAACAGGCAGGACTAACAGTTGATCTCTAATATATGGAATACATACAATAAAACTTGCACTGGTTTTAAAATGGGAATGTACTTCTTGGCTCAGGAACTGTGACTCTGCTCTGTAATGCACAAAATGTATTCATTTGTTTTCTTCTTACTTATATCCCAAGTATAGCATTCAATATAAATTTAAGTAGTTTACATATGAAACTGATTTATATAATATTTGAAACTTTACAAAATAGTACTAAAGTAGTAAAAAAAAAAAAGAACAGGTTTAAAATATTTACATTTTATACATAATTTCCCCCTACTTACAATTCTTAAATAATCTTCTGTGGTTTCTTTAATTTTAGGGAAAAGCTTTTAATAACTACAGACTGATTTTGAATTACTTTCAAATGGCTTTTTACTTAAACAGAATTTTAGCAAAATCACATTTCCAATGTGAAATGTTTTTCCCACGTTTTCAGTAGCAGTTATATATATATATATATAATATACATATATCCATCTGTGTTTTATGCTGTTTTATAATGCAATCCTGTTTTCTATAATAAACAGTGGAGATCTATAAAAGAAAATGGCACAGTATAGATGGAAACATATTCCCAACTCTTAAATCCCTTTATACCATTTGGCTTCTAGAATATCCAGTTTCTTGATAATCAGTGTTATTCTTCCAGTACTTTCAATGAATCAGATTCAATACTTATTTAGACTTTTGTGTCATCATCTTTTGAAAAGTTATTTCCTGAAGGTACTTCACAGAGACTATCACCATCCGTGCTGAAATCATCATCTTCATCATCATCAGAATCAGCCAACACTTTACTCGGTGACTTCTTCAGTCTACTAAAACAAAAATACATATGGCTTTATTATCAAAACTGTACATCTACATGCAGAACACTTGTGCAAAGCTTAAGACATTAACAGGTAGGATTTAAATTTTTAAAGGATGTAAAAGAAACTTGTGCTCCAATAGGGGTAGTTTATCATGGACTACATCCTATATAAAAGAAACATACAAGAGAATGAAGGTCAACCAATCATATTTTCAAGCACCTCTAACTAAAGTTACAGAGAGAAGGAATTATAAACTTTGCACACTGAGATGGTGAAAGATGGCTAAGGAAAACTAACACAGGATAGCTCTACCTCTCAGTCATTAGCAGGAAATTTTTATTACTGCAAATTACAAGAGCGTCAAGTCCCACCACCTTCTTCCATTTTTTGTTCCCTGCCTCAATGACTTTATTCAGCAGGCAGATCTTGGAAAGAAGGTCTGGACACCTAGAGCACCTTGCAAAGAGTTGGAGAACATCTGGAGAGAAAGGAAATGCAGAAGAGTTTCACAGGTCTGTCTCAAGCTCTGCCTGCTAATGACAAACTTGAAGTTTGTTAAAGGAAGCCCTCAGTTTATGGACTAAAGGAGCAAGAGATCAGTCTTGTGAATGGTGGTATGATACATTGTTGTACAGTCTGACAAGTCATCCTACCTTAATTCCTTCTTTGCAGCGTTAAGCTGTCCTTGCAACTGTTCATTCATGTCCAGTTGCTCTTCCAGTTCTCTCTGGAGTTTCTTTTTAGCACTTTCCAATCTGTCTATTTCTTCTTCAGCTTCTTCAACTTGACGTTTCATTGCTTTCAAACGCAAACTCAACTGAAATATTTACATGTCAGCTGATTAGTGGACTATTTTAATAAAATAATAATTTTATTAAAAATATGTAATCCTGTGCTTCAGAAATATTTGAAAGTCAGCACTAGACTTTGAGAAAAGTGATGGGATACAATTTTTTAAGAAGGAAAACCAGCAAACATACCTTAGTAGAGTAAGACAGCTGGTTATCAACAAGGGAAGACTGGAGCTATTAGTGTGTCTATATTAAGCAACTTTACCAGACAAGATAGTATAAAATAAATTTTAAAAACCCAGGGGATTTTAAAAGATTGTTCCCTTAACAGATGTCTGCAATTTGAAACACTGTTCATTCTCTAGGCAGAATATTAACTATCTGACCCACGTCCTGAAACAAACCATGTTTTAAGTAAGGAATCAACAAAGACCATAGGAATGGTAGAACACATTGCTATTAGAATATCAATGTATGCTTAATACTTATAGCCTATAGCCTATAGTTAACAATAAATAGCTTCTTTCTTTAAACAAATTTTATGGTGGCAAAACAGAATGTATTATTTGTTGGTGTATGTATTTATAGGATCATGTACTGTCTGTTATTGGCTTAATTTCTTAAAATAATTATAATATTGCTTCTAGAAGTGCTTCCTTTTCATAATTTTAGAAATTAATAACAATTTTGTGCTAGACAAAATAATACGATGACAATGGGAACTGAAAATGTCACTAAATGCGAGTTCATAAACAATAATAATTATCTACCTATATTCTTCTCATATCTTTTATATATGATTTATGCTAGTAGGATGAATATCAGATATTTGCATATTAGTCTTTCCCTCTACCTGGTCCTTTTGATCAGTCAATGAGAGATGTTCATCATCTACTTGTAACATTAACTCCTTCACTTTTCTCTCAAGTCTGCGGTTACTTAGTTGCAAATTAGCTCTATCCCTAGAAAAAACAAAATAAACAACATACAGACTTGTAAAAAAAAGAAACTTACATACTTCCAGTCCTGCTGACATAATTCCTTAGCAATCTTCTAAGAATTAAATAAATAATAATGGCCTCTGCTTTGATATACTGATTCCATGCAACAAACTAAGCAATTTGTTCAAGAGCATGAACCACTAAGAGTAATTTCTTCTGTCTCCAGTGCAACATTTTTTTAAAAAAAAATACATTTCTCCAAGAGTAAACAATAAAGTGAACATGAAAATGGAAATATAAACTACAGTTAATATTTCTAAGCCTGTTACTGATACTAGACATTGATAAAATAATGAGGTATGGAAACATGTTAGCACTGTGCCCAGTTTTAAATTTATAAGGCACCTTCTAGCATGCTTTCAGTAAAAAAGAAAATTTACAATAGTTGTATGAAACAGTAAACATTTTAATTTGGTGCTTGTGAGAAAAAAAAAATCAAGTTAATTGTATTAGAGACTTAATATTAGCATATTAACAAACATAAACATGCATGTTTTGATCTTAATATAACTAGTTTTACCTCTCTTCGTTTTCAAGCCGTTCCTCCAGCTCTGTGATCCTTGCTTCCATTTGAGCAACAAGTCCCTCTTTACTGGATCGGTAAGAACCCTCCAGGTGAAGGATTCGGCTCTTCAAGTCTTTGTTCTATAGTTGGAACACACTTGATTACTACATACGTGCTCATATTAACAAATATCACCTTAACGTAAAATAAATTTCTCCAGGCAAACATAAAGTGATTAGTGTATTTTTTTTAATTTAGTAAACATGGAAAAAGAGCCAGTGAGATTTTACCATTTACTACAAATAAATCTTCTATTACTATGTTTTATTAAAAGTAATTCAGTGTTCAGCTTAGGGTAAAGTTTTAGGTTTAAATGGACGCTTGAACTTCAGATGGTTGCAAGCCCCTTCCAACAGCATTTTTTAATATGCCAAAATTTGTCAGATAGCATTGGATCTGTCTTATTCTCCACACGATTCTTTTGTCAAATTGTGTATCTTCCCCTGTAACTCAGTACTGTAGAGCTAAAACAAGTAGACAAAGAAATTACTTGCATCCAATATTGCTTTACTCTATCAAAGCTGTTACTGTTGGTTCTTCCCTCCCTTTCTTAATTATCCAATGCTACTCCTACTACACAAATTGTTTGAAAAACTTTGCAAGCTGCATGATTTGTAAAAGCAGACTTTTTGCTTTAATTACACTTTAGCTTTTATGAGGCTAGGTATTTTAGGTTTTCAATGGGGACCTAATGATAAAGTTGCCAGAAAAAGAGTTACACGAGGAGAAGAAAGTAAAGCTTTTTGTTACAGAACTTCAGACCATGATCTCAAACACTAAAAATGCATGATAGAAAAGTGAGAACTAAAGTATAAGGATGTACATGGGATATATCAGTAGATGAGATGGCGTTCCTTTTTCTCAAACAACTGAGGTAGGATTAAGTTCACATAATTTAAGGCATCAAATTAGGTGCCTGGTACAAACATGTTCTCTAAATTCCCATTACAATCTGTTTTATGTTCTTGAGACTGTCAATAATACTACAACTTGCTATGACAGCTTTCCTCTGGATCTCAGCTAGAGGCTATGATAGTTATTTTGCTTTCAAAGACCACTGAATAAAATGTTGCAAAAAACGAGAAAGTATTTTTAATGTACTTTCCATCAGATAATGAAACATATGAGTCATATTTCTTCCTAGACAACAGAAAATAGCAGTTCTCTATCAAATCTTTATCTTTTCTTTCAGAGGCATGTCATTTTTTCCACTTGTTTGCTCCTACAGAAGAAAATACTAAACTAAAATCACAATTGCTTGAAATTATGATCGACCTTCAACAGTGTTTCTGAAGTACTGTTAAGACTTTGAAGAACAGCTCCTCCAAAAATAGTTAAAGGATTGACAGCTAAACTGAATAACAGTGTCTTCAATATTCTGTAGTCTTTTCTGTACATGTGTTTTTTAAAAGGTTCTATATTGATATCTCAGTTTTATTTTAAAACAAGTGTACCGTATCCACTGTCACATTTCTTATTTTTAATGTCTCTGATACTCAAATGTATAGACAGAATTTGTGTAGTAGAGAGATGCCTGCACTCACTACAACAAAAACATCTTACTATATAAACAAATGTATGCATAGTATGAGTGTTTAGTATATGAAATATATAAACTCTGACAAACCTCAAGCTAAAACAGGGGGTACATAATGAAAGAACTACTAAAAGAAGACTTAGTCAAGATTATAATATTTTCTTTTGAGAACCATTATTAAGATACTCATGGTTTTTAATCTTTTCTTACTAACACATACTTCCAATGGGACACTATGGTAGGATAGTGGCAGCTACCAGATACTGTATTCCTTAAATGCTTATTGGAATTTCCTAATGAGGGCAAATAACCAGCCTGTTATCTTCCTAATGTGATGATGTGCCAGCCGTAATTACCTGTCTTTCCAATGAAATTTTGTCACACTCCAAATCTTGCTTCATAGCTCTTTCCTGAAGTAGCTCTGTCCTCATTTGCTCAATCTATTATAGAAAGAAAAGACAGACATTTTAATAAAATATTTAATTTACATTTATCTATAGGATACTGTGCGTATGTATACATAAAGTACATATACCTACAAAATGAGAAAAAAATTGCCCTTTCTTAGAACTCAAGACATATGCCTGGTTTCAGATAAAGTTTACAATTACAACCTTGAACAAAATTTTCTACTTCAGTAAGCCCATGTTATTCCCAGTGCTTACTCTAGGCATGTTCCAGCCACACTGGGTATTGCTGATGTTCAGTCGATATAATGTGTAGCTGGGAACTGAACGCTAAAATGTTGCATGAGAGACGTATGTGTCAGGGAACTGAGTTCTGGAACATCACATCAGTCTTCAAACATCTTCTGCAGCTGTTCTCTTCATACTTTAGTCTGAAGCTCTGAAATGGCACCTTACCTTTCAGCTGCTGACTAGTCTACTTCAAAGTTTCATTTTCTTAAACACAAACTGGTAACTGCAGAGAAATGCCTAGAACTCAGTGAAACAATCTACAGACAATTACAGTTTTCTGTGTCTGTGAGAACAGTAAAAGCTCTTTTTCAACAGACTCTGACGCATACTGGATATGAACACTGCTCCCCTCCTCCAGACAATTTTATGTCTGTGATACCTGGACAGCACCGACTTCTGTATTTGAGGAGGGAGGGGGGTTTTGTTAAAACACAACTTTTGCTACAGTTTCTGTAAATATTTCAGTTGCATATTCAATAATGAAAAGGAAAGTATATCATCCATATATAAGATGTTAAAAAACTACCTGATGAATACAGAGTTAGTTTGTTTTATCTTACTATTAGACTTGACTGGAGAAAAAAATTCTGAGGATCAAAGAGAAACTCTAAACTGCCTAACAACTGCTACTGAAACTTTGGGGCTAATGGAAAGTTTGTATGGCCCAAATACTTTTCTTCCCTTTCATTCCTACTGCCCTCAAGTCTTTACAAATGCCTTTGCAGGCACAGCTAATGTTACTACAGCAATTGTGCTTTTCCCTGAACAATGTTTACTGTGATGAGTATCACCTGGGGAACACAGAGAACATCTATGCCAATTAGTGTACCTGAAAAAAGACTGACAAAGGTTTCAGTGGCCACAACATTCTTCCCTGCTTTATAACAGTTATGTGTGACCTTGCATAAACACATCATCATAGTTACGCAGCATTAAGTTACACATTTATCTCACTAAAGGTCTTTCAATAGCCTTTGGGAATTCTTGTATAAAAAAAAATCCAAAAGCAATGCTAAGAATGTGAAGGTTAAACAAGTACAGCACATGAAATTCTACCTTATGCCTTAGGCCTTTTTTTTGTTTTTTACCACATCGTAATATTAAAAGATATATTTTTAGTTAATCACATGTTTAAAATAAGTCATTTACACTGTTTCTGTAGCTTTGAAATGAATATATGAATACAAACAATGGTAGCAACACATGCAGTTGCATATGTTATGTCAGTATGATTTCAGAACAGTCGAAGGCATTCATCCTGAAAATGAAGGTTACTGGACTACAAATGTTAGCAACGTGGCTGTGTTCTAAACAGTTGGGTAATTTCCTAAAAGCTCTCATTGTGGCATAGAAGCCTAATAATAATAAAGTTTTATACATTATATAGTAACGTATTATTTTATATATTAAAATAAGAATCACTCATGTATACAATAGCTGCATTTATTTATGAAATATATGGGGAAAAAAGTTATAATGTAAGGGATTACATAGAATTTCTAGCCATAAAGACAGACACAGAAAAAATAAAGTAAAATTTGTAGGAAAATGAACTGACTAATTAAAAATGCAACTGTTAACTGAAGAAAGGGGTTTTGTTTTATGTAAGAACATGCTTAATGGACCACTCTAAAGTTCTACTGTGCTCTTACTGTGCTCAGAGGTTGTGACAAATTTGTGCAACTTTTTAAAGATCTCAAATTAAGGAATTATTTAGAGGACAATTATATCTCCAAGATGACTTCTACTGTTTGTTGTTGGACACTTCACGGTAAAAGCAAGGTCACAGAAAAACAGTGGAAGAGAGAAAAAGTACTCTATCTCATTAGGATCAGAAAGCTACATGCAAATACATACAAGAGCTTGTAAAAAGAGAAGGGCAGCAGGACACAATTCTTGCTGGGGGAGGTGGAAACTGTTTTCACTTATCTCCTTGCACTTTTCATTAGTAAACACACATTAACATGCACGAAGGAAAAAAGAAATTGTCGGACAAAATGTGCTCAAACTTTTCATTTATGTCACAATAGTTAAAATAGACTCTGGGTATGTACCATGTGGAGTTTTGTGCTTCACATCCTATCTTTCCTATATCTAATATATTCTAATAATGTTAAAAGAATAACTATTTGTGCAGCTTAAGGCAACAGTTATCACAGCTGGATTTTGAAGAATGCTAACAAAGACTTGAGAAAAGCAATAGTATCAGATTTTACAAAGCTTTATTAGACATACAGCATTTTGTACCAGTTACAGGATTAGAAGCAGCTGTTGAGTTTATTATTAAAGCAACTTGGTTTCTAATAATATTTTAGATGCTACCACCATTGTTTACCATCTCACGCTAGGTTCACAGCCTATGTTTCTTGTTAATTCCTAGGTAGGG